TTTAAAGTCACGTGTGAGCCTTCAAAGTGCCGGTCTTCTGTTCCTGGTCCTTATACTGAGAGAGGTCGGTGAATCTTGGGCAAACGGCATCCAATGTTCCTGCGTAGTCATTTTATGTACAAAAAAACCGTGGCCATCGACCGAGAAATTGGTCAAGTAGCCCCAAAACGTCCGCTTCTCAAGAGCTTGTCATTTCAAGCTCTTAGACAGCCTGCCATAGGCTTCAATACAAGTCAGAAGTCACAAGCCTTCGACCTCACACCCTACAAGACGCTGAGGCATTGGCACCTGGACCCAAAAACAAACAAATTCCTGAAATACCAAGGACTCTTGACGCAAAGGGTCCAGATGCCCGTCAAAATATATTTGGCCCCCAGCCAAAGGTGTTCCTATGTAGGTACATTCGTGCCTAGATATACAGTACATACACTTATAGATATACATAAAACTTATGCATGGGCCTCTACCCTGACCCGCTTTAACTCTTCTGTACCTATGCATCATGGACGCCCCAACGCTTTCCCTAAACACTAAACCCTAAGTTTTCCAAAATCATGACCAGGTGCTACTTGGGGATGATCAATACCTGGACCTCCAAAATACCTGCGTCTGATAATGGCCTCTCACCCCCAAAATACTGGGTATATAGATACCTATAATATTGGCCCTTCACACGCTATTACTGTAGGTATTTCGGAGGTCCAGATAATTCTTGTAGAAGGGAACCTATTCATACATAACCTTGGGGCCGACAAAATAGCACCCAGATAAATTTGGGAGACCCATTCGGGTGCGAGATTTCGGGGGGGTTGAGATGTCTGCGAATTGAAGCCGCAACATGCTTTGGAGAGTCCATGCACACATTGCACGTTTTTTCACATTGAAGGGCAGCCGATGCTTTCTAAAAGTCTGAATTAGGAAGAGCCGGCCTAGCCGCTGAAGTAGCATATGACATATGGTTCATGCAGATCATACAGGGAGGGTGGATGGCAGAGAGACAGAATGCAGAGCATGTCTAAAGCAGGAGAGCGACCCACATGTCGAAGTTCCGCCTTACCCAAAGGGAAGCTGGCGTGCCATTATGTCGACCGGCTTTCCTACACACCATTGGCCGGGTGTGGGGGGCAGAAAGCAGCCGATCACCATTGGAGCCAACGCACCTTCGGCACGGGGTGTATGACAGCAGGGGCGATGAGCTAAGGCTCTTGCTGGTGGTGACTTGGCCTGGGGTGCCTCGCTAGTAATCGAGACCGGGTCGGCGCTTTCTATCTTTCAGGGGAGGCCGACGTGCAGGCCTGAAACCTCACGTGTTGTAGAGCAGCGGCAGTATACTCTATTCAAGAGGCGCAGGGGCATGCGCGTAAGCCAGCTATTTCATCAGCGGTAATTGCATGCCGGAGCAGTGTCAAACCTGGGAGTTCCTCAAATTCCTTATAAACTGTCTTGCAGGCACACTGATGTGAGGATTTGGGACTTCCTTCTGTAGGGCTCTGTCATCAGCTTCAGGCGACGTGTGTCGCACTTGGACACTTGGATGGTTGAGCAGCTAGCTGTGGCGCGCAGATCAACGGTTTTAGGGGGCTTCAGCGCGAACAAGGGGTCCCAAGTACTGATGCTCCTGCTCCGTACGGACTTGCAGCTCTAAGCATGACCCTGTCCATGGTAACAAGGTTCAGCAACATGGCCATGATTTTGCCACGTAGGTTCAAGATGTTGTTTTTAGGTGTGAGCCATTTGAGTGGAGACTCTGAAATTGCTGCTTTTGTTCGTTGAACCTGGTGCATTCCATTTTTGTGCACACTTCTTTGGATT